ACAACAGAAAGAAAGCAGATTGAATGAACTTCAACATATTATCTTTCATTTCTGTAATATTATGTTAAGAAGAAAGAAAAAGCATGTAAAACAATATCTTGCCTGCAACAAACAAGAGGGAATTTGAATATAACCCTGTAGCAAGAGGTTGACCTTTTCCAAGGAACTATGTGGCACAGGAGTAATGACATATAGCACACCTTTTACTGTGTCAATGCCCCTCACAATCCCTGAAACATAAGAAATCAAGATGTGTTAAAAAATGATTTGCTTAGAATTATCAAAATGCATAACTACTCAACTAGAACAATAGCCTTTTTGATTTGTGACAGTCATATTCTTGTTTTATTCTCTCTCTTCAACATCTTTGGAAGCATGATAGCCTAGATAGGTAGAGATCTCTCCAGATATACTACAGTTTATGTCATTGCAAAGCTGAGACAGTGGTAAACTTCTCACAACCAATAGACAGATATACAAGATAAGCTAACTCATAAATGCACATTTAGTTCACAATACTTTTGTCTTACAAAATTTGAAATTGTTTAAGTTCAATAATACCATTTCTTTCAAATAGCATTACCATTTTGTTTACAAGGCATTTGATGTTTTCAAAGACTTGTAAAACATAGAATGGGCATTTTCAGGTAGTTTGCTTTACTATTGCAACCTTATTAGCTTTTTAATCTAAAATTTCAATGCTGCAGAAGTATTTCAGTAAAAAATTATCCTCGGTTTCAGAACAGAACATAATGAAACACTTCAAATTCAGGAAGTTAGTCAAATGACGTACCAAGGCCAAAACACCAAGGTAAATTTTCAGGTCCTTCAGAATCAACAGCTAAGCCAACAATAGTAGCATTCAAACTGAAGAATATTTCAGAGCTTGGGACCTACAAAAATACCGGTAGATCATTTGTGGAGGCAGAAGCTTTGTAGAAATTTGTGGAGGCAGAGTGTGCAAGATAGGAGAACAAGAAAGTAACTCGTATCAGAAAGAGGCACTTCAGAGGCAAATCATATGAAAAAACCATATTAAGAAAAGAATCAGAGAAACTTGCTTTATTTTCAACAGAAAAATATACCTAATCTAAAACCTATTCCAAAAATGAAACAGAAAAAGGGTAATAAAATTAAACCTTGATTCACAATCAAACATTCCAAGCAACACCACGGACAGATATGGAGGAGGAGGAGCAGCGAGTGCAAACAGCTCCAACACTGTGCAGGTATTTTGGCTCCCCTTTCCTACAGAGTCATAGACGCCTCCATCATCAGATAAATCATCAAATGTTCACATATCTCAAGCAGGAGAAGACGAACACGAAGGAGAGCAGGAGAAGACGAACACGAAGGAGAGCAGGAGAAGATTGTGGTGCTGTGAAGGGTTTGGGGGAGAATTTGATAAAGGCGGGGAAGGAGGTTAGGGTTTAGTGATAGTTTCAGAGAATTAGATTAGATGGATTTCGAAAGTAATGAGTGAAGGCGAGAGCGGGGATATGTTGATAAGTATTTTAAAAATTAAAAAATTATATTTTAGG